AATAACTCTCCTTCCGTCTTGCTAATGTTCTCGAATGTCGCCGAAGAGAAAGAAGTTTCTCTTGCACGGGGAGAGGAAATAATTCCCAAGTTCCCTTCCCAAAAATCTGAAAACAGTTTCAGATTTTGAGCCAAAATCTGAGAGAAATTTCAGATTTTCTGAGTGTAGTAGGTAGGGAAATTGGAGGAAGAACTTTAGCCTCAATTCAAGTGAGGTATTAAAGAGGGAGAGAGGGGATTGGAGGGAGAGAGGGGGCGGATAGGAGAGAGGGGCCGGCGGTTTGTAGAGGAGGTGGGGATTTAATTTGTTTCCCAAAAGAGAGGTCAACTTATGGGAAGCAATTAAATAGGAGGAGGAAGGGGAAATTCGGCCAAGAGAGAATTGGGGGAGATTGGAATTATTGCCTAAAGCAAGGAGGGGCTTTTAGGAAATATTTCCTAATCCAAGCCAAGGGGGGGCCGGTGGCATTAAGGAGAAGGGGAGAGATTTGTGGAGAGCAATTAATGTTACTTGATTTGGTTTTGAATATTAGGAAAGGGCTTTTAAAATCCTATTTGAATTTTAAATTCAAAAAAGTTTTAATTAGGAAACTTTCCAAAAATAGAATTCATAAATTAGGAAAGATTTCAAATTTCAAATTATATGAACTTGAATTTCAAAATCTGCCCAAAATATGTCCACCCAAATTAGGCAAAGGAGTTTAATGGGAAAGAGGGAGTGGGGGCCGGCGGCTAGGTGGTTGGAGCCGGCGGCATGGGGGGCTCGGGTTGGGGTTTTGGCCGTGGGGTTAGGAGGAAGGGGAAGTGGATTCGAGTGTGATGGAATCCGGCGGCTAAGTGAGGGTGGAAAGGAGAAGGGAAAGAGAACGATGATAGACAAAGAAGAAAACCATGAACCCGGCCATCTCCAAGGTTGGTGGGTGGTCCGTTCTCCCTCTCCTAGGGATCTCTCCAAAGTTCTCTCCAAGAACTCTCAAACGCTCTCACAAGAACTCATGCAAGAAGAAAATTTCTAATCAATCATTCATTTCCCTCAAACATAAGACATGAGGTTATAAATAGCCAAGTACAATGGACTCAAGAAAATAAAAGATCAGCTTGCCCTTCGGGCTCACATACGATAATTCCCAATAAAAGGGTACAACTGGAAAAGATAATAAAACAAATACATGACACTAAAAATAGAAAATACATGAATAAGAAAATACTTAAATAACTCAAAAATATAAAGACTCGATTGTAGCAGTAGGTAGATCGGCGACCACGCCTCTGATAAACCTTCCACAAACTGATGTCCCCATCAAAGTATCATATTTCTCATCTTTTTCAACATGATCAATGTTCAATTTATTGTTAAAATTAAATGAGTTAGATTCAATTGTCTCAAAATTAGTAACCATTTTCTCTCTTCATGCATCTTAGAAAAAGGAATAATGCTTGAGTTCTCTTATCGTATATGACGTAACAAAATAGAGTGATTGAACTAAAGAACGACCACTTGTTACCAGAAGAGCTCTCTTTTTTCAAGAAAATTTCTCAAAATAATATTGGTGAGAATCAATTTTAGCTACCACCCATATCATAGGCCAGTTACCTACAAATGTACTTGGATTGCTGAGTTCTACACAAGCATGAAATAAAATTTTTCAGGTTTCAATATCCCAAATAACTTTGCTTTTAAAATATTTGGAAGTGTTGTCTTTGTTCATACTTATTCTCAAAATAGAGAAGAACTTACCACACAAAAATATCATTATTTTATTACTGCTTATCTGTAGGAAGAAAATTCCTTCATAAATGATTTTTTTCTTTTAGATTGCCCTTTGTTGCCCCTCATTCCAGCAAGCTCTATTCAATAATCAGTAACGCCTATCCAAATTGAGTCTATACCAAAATTACTTTATACTCGGTCATTATATGAAAAAAAGGCATATCAATCTACACAAATCCAATCAATCAAATTTATCCCATTAATTGAATTCTTTGAGGGAACAACTGAGCCTACGCATAAAGGCACACAAACTTCCACTATGCATCTCTTATAATTATTTTTATCATAGAAAAATCTCTCATAATCATCAATCATTTTTTATTAGTATGGATGATATTTCTATTTCTAAAATAATGTCAGAGACTTTAAATAATATGAGTTGGAATAATTCTGTATGGGAAGAAATTGAAGCCCTTAAAAAAATGAAAGGCAAATGAAAGGCGGGAATTGATAAAATTACCAAAAGAAAAGAAAATAGTGAGTTATAGATGAGTTTTACTAAAAAATTCTAATTTGATGATTTATTAGAAAGGCATAAACTCAGACTAGTGGACAAAAGCTACACTCAACCTGGTGGGATTTATCATCTTGAAATCTATGCTTCAATTTCTATGATAAAATATCGTTAGAGCTCTCTTATTTTTAGCAACTTTCAGGAATTGGAAGACACAATAATTCAATATGAAGAATGTCTTCTTGTAGAATGACCTAGAGGAGGAAGTATATATGGAGGTCATATTAGGATTTGGTTGAAATACACACGGAAGAGATGTAAACCATTGTAAGGGTTGAATTAATCTCCAAGGGTGCAATTTGGAAGGCTCATTAAGGTAATGGTCAAAATGGGTTGCAAATAAAGTGAAGAAGACAATACATTATTTGTGAAACATAGGTTTTAGGGGGAGTCTCTACACTATTAATTTATGTTGATGATATTGTTATATGGAATGAGAATTAAAAAAAAAAAGATTGCTCCAAGAATTTAAAGTTAAAGATTTAAGCAAACTAAAGTATTTACCTAACATTTAAGTTGCACGCTCTGAACATAAGATCTTCATATTGCAACAAAAATGAATAGCTAATGTGTTGAAAAAAACGAGTAAGCTTGGATCAAAACTTGTCAAGAGCTCTATGGGATTTAAAGCATAATCCCAGAAACTATCCCATGCAATATGACCATATAAAGCATATTGAAGTTGATAGACATTTTATAAGAATGAAGTCTGACAATTGTCAATTTGTAATCCATTTGTAACCATTGGTTAACAACTTGTTGTCATTCTTACTAGAGACAAAATTTATCAGACAAGCTTGCAATGGATGACATCCTTATTCGCTTGAGAGGAAGTCTGAAACATTTGCATAATTTTCATCAGCTAGGACCTACACTCACTAAAACTTCTATCTATTCTTCTTCATCTTATGTTGCCACTCATTGATTTGTTAGATTCCTACTGCCTTGCAAGCAATCATTGGACTATTATAATTATTATTTTCAGATTTTATATATTTCTTATTAGAAACTCTTCTAGGATTGTATAAATATTATACAAATATTAGAATGAAATACTTAACTTATTCTTTTTCAATTCATATCAATTACAAATGCATTTTAAGTAGTCGTATAATTGGTAGACACTCCTTGCCTTTTCATTAGACAAACAATTACATCTTTTTCTTTTATAATGCTACCATATCTACTATTAGGATAAATGACTATTTCAGTTGCTATTTTCCTGGTTCTGTTGGATCATCACTAGTTATTCTCTCGAATTAATGATATACTCCTGAGCTGCTTGTTTTTGTCCCTTTTGTGGTCATCTTAGGAGTTCTACTTGTGAAAATTTATATGAGGAGAACAGTGAAAATGTACAAGTGGCCTCTATAAGAAGCTTATGCGCTGGGCTTTCTTCTTTAATTTGAGCTTCAATTTTGTGGGAATAATAGATCCTGTTGGTTCTTTCATGTATTTTTTAATATATGTTTGTATTTAAGTAGTCTTTAAAAAACTTTGATGGCTCGTTATGATCTATATGAGCAGTTAAATTTCTTGATGTTTGCCTTTTCTTTTTAGTTTTTTGTATTTTTCTTATCTTCACTGCCATCTTCAATTCCTCATGCTAAAGAGTACTATGTTTGGTCGATCCCTAAACTTTTCATTTTGATTTATTATTGTGATGAAAACTTAATATTATTAAGAGGATATTTAGTTGGAAGTAAAGTGATTGTAAAGTAAAATGCAGGAGTTTTGAGAAGTTTGGTGTTTGGTTAGATGAAAAACAAATCCAAGGTAAAGTAAAGTGAATGCATTGTATTCTATTCTAGTTCATTTTTTAGGTAAACCATTCTCACCCAATTTTGAGTGTATTGTTCCAAAGCTTGCTTGACCACCGCTGTCGGCCGCCACCCTCCACCGTCCATCACTAGCCACCAGCCACCGCCCACCGCCGACCATTCTCGCCACCGCAGTCCGTCCACCGCCAATCGCCCCTCACCGCTATCACTGTCGACCAGGGCGCAACTTTTATATTTTACATTGCATTCACTTTACTTCAAACCAAGCAAAAAAAGTAAAGTCATGCATTATTTTTACACTCATTCAAACAACTTCAAAGTTTCTTTTACACTGCATTCCTTTTTAAGACAAACCAAACAGCTCCTAAAACTAATAAATTTTTAACCTTTGTTTTTGTGTTGAGAAATTATTTTTATGCAGCCATCATCTTATTTGTGTTTCTGGTTTTTTTTTTTTCTAATTCTTATTGCATGCTGGCTGAATAAAGGTTCATATTTGAACAGTAATTTAGAACAAGTGATTAATAAAGATGCTGTAGTATTCATATCATTGCATTGTTCAGTAAACGTAACTCAGTAACTTTCCTGGCATATTTTGTTTCCAATTTTCTAACGCTTTGCGCAATGTCGCCATAACCATGCTTCTGTTGCTTGTGCTGAAACCCCTTTAGTTTGTAGCAAAGCTTTAATTTTTATGTATGCTTCAATGTTCTTCTACTAGTTCAATTCGAAGTTCTTCTACTAGTTCTAGGATTAATTTTGGCGTTCTAGCATGAGTAGATGGTGCTGGGAAATGAACATCATGATATCTGTCCTGAATCTGGAAATATTATTTTTGACTTTGGTCTTCTTCTAAGACTTAGGTTTATTCTTCTGTTTATCAGCTCATGTTCTTATCTTGGGATTAATTTCTTGCCATCTCAAAATATTTGTAGGTATTCCCATTCGGATCAGTTCCCTTGAAGACATATCTTCCTGATGGAGACATCGATTTGACTACAGTTAGCTTTCCAAATATTGAAGATGCTTTAGCTGCTGATGTGAGATCGGTCCTTGAAGTTGAAGCACATAATAAGGATGCTGAGTTTGAAGTAAAGGATGTGCAGCTTATTCTTGCTGAGGTTTGGCAAATTATTCCGTCATCATCTTTTAGTTTTAAATGTGCTAGCTTTGTAAACTATACTTTATCTGCTTAAGTTTTTTAACACCTTTGATGATCTTGCTGCTCCGATGAAATACAAATATTGGTCTCTTGGGTACTTTTTTTTGGCAAATCCAGTAATCTGGAAGCTGTTACGATTGTCTTCTTTCTAAAGTTTTTTGTAATATTTATTATCGGATAGATATTTGGTAATTCTTTGCAGGTAGCGCGATTTATGTCTTTTTTTTTTTCTTTCAAGGGAAACATCGGATAAATTCACAATGCCTGATGTGTATTTAAAGTTTTTAATGAAACATTTTGCTTATTATTATTGAAGGATAGCATTATAGAAATCTATGTGATCATAAATTATTGCTCGAGCTCTTTTTGTGCTTGAAGATTATTAGAATGATGCCATAATAGTGTTGTCCTCTGTGATTCTATGAGGTTCTTTCAGGTTTTCTCCACAATCAGAAATGGCGGAAGCTAATGACCCTAGTAGTCCTTAAGCATTTTGAGTGAGTCATGGAATCCCATCGTGTTTGATTAATTTTTACACTAAGTTTGGTTCTAATATGCTAGGTTTTGTCCATCACTTATTAGCTCAAGAATTTAGGTAGAGAAGATGTTTTTCCATGAGCATATATATTTCAACTCGGCCTCTAAATGGATATCATCCTATCAAATGATCCGAGTTGCAGGTCGGCTGGCTTGAGCAATTGATTTAATTCTCGACTCTTGTGGTCTATGGCTGATTCTTCATTGGTTAAGAAAATTTTGGTTGACTCTCAATCTCGTTTGCTTGTGGAGAGGCTTTTTTATGCTTGTAATTTTTTCATGTAGAAATTTTTTATTTATATGTGTGTATGAAAAATGAAATGAAGAATTCTCACTTAAAAGAAGGAAATTTCTTAAAACATGTGAGCTCATTGGTTTTGTCCAGCGTTAGCTAATTGAAGAAAATATTACTGTTGAATCTTAAATATAAATGGTGGGCTTTTACATATTAGATTAAGTTTTTGAGTCAAATCGTTGTATGAGCTCTTGTTTCTTACGTTAATTTAAAGATTCACATGATCTAGAACCACCACGGATTGCTTTTTTAATGGAAGGACAATACAAGCCTTATCTTTGTGATATTCAATTACATTTGGATTAGAGTTGAGGCATTTACTTTATTTTTGTTCCACTCTAACATAATATTTACTTCACAGTTCACACTGAAGCATAATCTAATAACAATCAATAAGCATAAAATAAGAAAACTAAATCATTAAATTGCCTTACTTTTAACGTGCTACTTAAGTACAAACTCAGCCAATCCAAATCCAGCTTTTCAAAAGATGCTATTTCATCCTTGAAATATCATATAAGAGGTATGAGAAGAAGATAGTTTCATAAAAATTTCTCGCCTCTAACCTCTGCAGTCAATAATAAGCTTATAAAAAATGCATCTTATAAAGTATCTTAACTAGTAGGGAATATGCATAAAGAATTTAGGATAGAAATAGCGGTGATACAAATGTGCAACAACAATAACAACGACAAGCCTTTATCTTATAATGTGCAGTCAGCTACATGAATCATTTTTCTTCCATTGTGTCCAATTAAGAGTCAAATTCCCATTTAAATCTAACAAAAAGGTATTTTTTAATACGTTCTAAACAAATCTTTTTAGGTCTACCTTTATCTTTTTTAATATAGGCTGGATCTAATTCTTCTTCTCTTCTAACAGATTCATAGAAAGCCCGATGTGTTATGTGACCAAACCACCTAAGGCGACTGATAGGAAGTATTTGAGTTCGCAAGTATCCCTAAAGGCAATACTTGAGTTCGCAAGCAAACCTAACCACAATTGATGAAAACAGTGAGTAAAATTGCTGTTTATAGCAGAAAAACAACAACGGTACAGCAGATTTGGGGGAAAACAGAGGAAAACTAATAGAAAAAGAAGAATTTCCACTAGTAAACGATACAATTTTCTTCAATTCGAGAGGAAGAAACAGCTCTCCAAATCTCTAGCCAAGCCTAAAGTCCAAAGGAACAAATCCTAGATCTCAAAATTGATTTCAAACTCAAGATAACCCTAACCCTAGCAAGAAGGTAGTAATTAAAGCAAAAGAACAATTACAAAACTGCCCCCCTAATTCAAAATTTCCCTCCAAAGCAATTTACCCCCCCCCCCCCCAGAACAATTACAAAACTGCCCCCCTAATTCAAAATTTCCCTCCAAAGCAATTTACCCCCCTCTCTCTCTCTCTCTCTCTCTTCCCTAGTTTCGCTTGGGCCGCCTGCTATAGGTTAAAACTGGTCCATTAGGGACCGGTTCAACAGGCCCAGGATGGGCCAGCCTAACAGCGACTCTCTCTAATTTTATCTGCTGCTCAAGCTACTCCAACCTTTTCATGTATATACTCGATGGATGTGCAAAATTAGAAAATTACTTGAAACTCACTCGATGTGTGGGCAAATCAAAATAAACTCTAATTTGAACTATTGTGCTTGGCTTGATATCCATTTTTAGTTTATTCTAATTTTACATTTGCTCTCCTAAAAATCAACTTGAATAGCCTCGCAATTGCTATATGTTTTCCAATATAATTCCATTTAAAATTTGAGTCAACTCAGAGTATAATTTGAGATGGCCTAGAGACAATTAAATTTGAGTAAAGATGTAACTATAAAGTATATTGATTTCCTCAAGTCTAGCTAAAATTTATAATTTTGAATTAGAGACATGTTGAACTTACACGACAATTTATGCACATTAAACTTGAATGGGATGTCGACCAACAATATTTAATGATAATAGCATGAACTTAGAGTATTATTTATGCATACATTGAGTTAAAGATGCATGATCATTACTTTTATCCATGGCAACATAATCAAGTATTGATTATCAATAAGGATAACATCTCAATAATTAAACTTAGGACCAACCAATAATGACAAGCTGGCTATAGTAAGTTTTTGTTCAAGCAAAATTGGTAAGTTGACTCCAATTTAAGCTAGAATTATGCACTTTCCAATCAAGTATAGTGACCCAAGAGCTCCAATTACAATAGGTTTACGTTAATGATCAATTATGATTTTATATCTTTTTATATTAGTTGTGAGGATCCTTGCAAAATATATTGAAAGTGGGATGCTTTAATATATGATTTTTGTAGAAGATATAATTTTAATTGGAGAGACATTCATTGAAATAAGTTAAAAAAAATTAAAACAGTAGATAAATTATTTAGATTATAGGTGACTTAGAATTAGTTGAACAAGGTTGCATATATGATATAATTTTAGCGGATGTAACCACTATCAATTAATATTTTTAGAAGACACAATGATGCCTAGGAATGATAGATTTAAATATTCATGGTGCTGTCATAATTCATGAGGTAATCTCTTGAATTAGTTAAGGGTTGATTAGAGATCAAGTACGTAATACAAGGGCCAAGAAAAATATTTTTGAACTTAATATATTTTCTTGGGAATTTTATGAATTATCCTTAATTTATAAAAGTTTTCTCATTTATGGGATTATCTTTATGTATTTATAAATCCCTGATAATATATTAGGAAAATATGATTTTTTTTTTTTAATTTTTGGGGATTTTGAGTCATTCATAATTTTAGAAAAAATTTCTGTAATTTCTTAAGATTATTTGGGCAATTTCCATTATTAAATAGACTTTTTTGCTATGAAGCGCGAACATTTTCAAATAGTTGCATGCCCATGTCGAACATGGACTTGTATCTTGACACTATAAAGGTTCTTTTATGAAGTATATGTGCCAATTGAAAAAATAAATAATTATATTTTACTTTGTGATTCCTTAGTAGAGATATAAAATTTATATTAATAATTTATAAAATATTATAATATTTTCAAGGCGTGTCGTGTCTTATTTTTTAAAATTATGCCATGTTTGTGTCATGTCATGTTGTGTTCATATCTTTGTGTTTGTATTTGTGTCTGTGCTTCATAGCTTTCTAGTAAATTAATTACTTTAACATGAATTCATGACATTTGTATAAATTTTGGATTCCAAGTGAGGGTTTATTAACAATTTTTATTTATCAGTGTCTTTTGCAATAATATTTTTCCAACAATTTTTTTTTTCGTCTTGAAATACCAAAAAGGATGGTTTTGTAAGATTTTTTAGAGCTTTTTTTACTTATTCAAAAAGGTAGTTCTTGTGGCAAGGTTTAATTGGCTAGTCAACAGACAACTTTTGTGGTAAGTTTCAATTGGCAAGTCAAAAGATAGGGATACATGTCAAGTTGTGAGAATTAGAGTAGGAATTCTTTACTTATAAATTTTGTAATATTATTTTGAAGACTAAAAAGAGGTCAAATGAGTGGAGGAGTATGTTGATTCCTAATTTTAAAAATAAAAGAGATGCACAAGAGTGTGCGAATTATAGAGAAATTAAGTTAATATGTCATACATTATACACCAAGGTTTAAAAGGCGAAATCGGGAATCGAGGCATTTTTTCTAAGCGAGGCAAGGCGTAAGCCTCAAAACGATTAAAATAAATTAATTTAAAATTTTAAATAATGACAAAAAATAACAATTATTTGTACTACCAATAATAAAATAACATGAATACACAAATATACCAGTCTGCCGGGGGTCCAAGGGGGCGCTTCCCCCTGGCGGGGTTCGACCTGCTATGATTATACATTAAAATTATGGGAGAGGATAATTGAGCATAGATTACGACATGATACCAATGTTTCTCAAAATCAATTTGGATTCATGTTGGGTAAATCTATTATGGGGGCTATACATTTGTTGGGAGGTTTGATAGAGAAGTATAGAGAGAGTAAGGAGAATCTATGTATGATATTTTAAAACTTAGTGAAAGTATATGATAAAGTTCCAAGAGAAGTGCTCTAGAGAGTTCTAGAAAAATAATAATAATAATAATAAGAGTTAATAATGCTTATATTCGTGTCATTAAGGATTTGTATA